GCGAAGAATTCCAGTTTTGAAGCATCCTTCGTGTTGTAGTTTAATCCTTTTTGGAGCAGTTGTACTTCTGTTGTCGTTAGATGTTGCTTCGATAGGTTGACCACACAACTGTTTGCGTTTTCTTCTGTATACGAGTATACGAGCAATGCTTCGAAGACACCTATGATCGAAAACCAATAGCCGACGAGTATCTTCTACTCTCATTGGCCATCTTTCACAGCCATATAGAAGAACGGAGCGAACTGCTGCACAGTACACTAGTCCTTTGATTAGAGAACGGATATCACGCCTACGCCATAAGTGACGCAGGTTGGCAAAAGCCAATCGAGCCTTCTGTATCCGAGCTGAGATTTCGTCAGTCACCAGGCCATCGGCACTGATGAGACTCCCAAGATAAGTGAAGCGGTCTACACGCTCGACTACTTCACTCCCTATCACTAGTTCAGGTGCCGATGACACCCAATCTTGAAGCAACATTTTGCATTTCGAGGGTGAGAACCGCATCCCGAACATGCTTGCATTGCTGCTTAGGGTAGTCAGACGACTTTGCATTTTGTCAGCGTCTTCACCAAGTAGGACAATGTCGTCGGCATATTCTAAGTCAATAAGCGAGCCACCTGGTAGAAGGTCTACTCCAGAAAATTCAGACGAGGTTAAGGTTACATCTAGCCGCATGTCTATGACAACATTAAACAAGAATGTCGAAAGTGGACATCCCTGACGGACACCACTTGATGTAGAGAATTCCGGTGACAGTTCGCCATAAGCTCTCACTCGACCAGTGGTGTTCGATTAGAGAGCTTGTATAAGGTTAATGTACTTCTTTGGTACACCTTTCATTGACAGACACTGCCACAGAACTTCACGATCCACTGAGTCAAATGCCGCCTTAAGGTCCAAGAAGACAACTATTATCGGACGCCTAAATGTGTGTCTGTGTTCCAGGACCTGACGTAGTGTGAAAATGTGGTCTATACAGCCACGTCCAGGTCGAAAACCAGATTGGTTTTCTCGAGTTTGCTCTTCACGAGCTTTCGTTAAGCGTCGAAGTATTACTGAGGCCAATATTTTAGATACTATATTAGTTAGACTTATTCCCTTGTGATTGTCACAAGAGGACTTTTGTCCTTTCTTATAGATTGGGACAATCAGTGATTGAGACCAGTCGGATGGGATTACGTCCAGTTCCCAGATTCTACCGAAGATCTCAGTCAACCTACCTGCTAAAACTGGACCACCATCCTTAAATATCTCAGGGGTCAGTCTATCAGGACCTGCAGCTCGTCCTCGTTTCAGATTTCCTAACGCTTTCTCAACTTCATTAAGACTAGGGGGACTTAGGTCGATTTGCCATTCAGGATGACTGGAGATCGTGGGTAACCGAAGAGTGGCTCGAGGCCAGTTGAACTGATCCCTAAAGTGTTCTGCCCATCGATCCAGTCTCCTGGATTGAGAATAAATAATAGTCCCGTCATTTTCTGAGATAGTCTCACTTACACTAGGATTCCTAATACCAGTTTCCTTAATAAGTCGGAAAAGTTGTCTACTGTTGCCGATCGCCGCTGCCTTTTCCATCGCTTTTGCTTTCGCCACCCACCACTGTTCGCGATCGTTACGCAGACTTTTTATAAGTCTGCGCCTAAGCTGACTTCGTTCGTCATCATGTTCGCAGACAGGTGGGATGAGTTTTCGGGCATCAATCAGATGGGTGAATGCTACTGAGATCCACGGCTTCATTCTAGCCTTGTGGTCAACCTTACTAGCAGATATCACAGCTGTTTCCACAGCCTTTCTGATATCATACCAACCTGCTTCTGAATGGGAATCACTTATATCGTTGCTTAGCTCTCTTTCTAGTTGCTCCTGAAATATTTTCTTGGTTTGATTATCATTAAGTAAAACCCTAAGAGGCTTCCTTACGGTGTCTTTCCTACGTCCAGTAAGACTCAAACAGATACGAGCTCGCACTAGAGCATGATCTGAATCCAAACATGTGCCCCAGAACGAGCGACAGTCCTCTATCGAACCCCTCCATCGGTGGCTGATGGCGATGTGATCTAGTTGCGCCCAACGTTGAGACGACTTTGGAGGTCGCCAGGTCAAGATATGCTTTTCCTTATGCCTAAAGTTAGTGTTTGCTAAGAATAGGCGGTTGTCTGAGCATAGTTGCAACAGACGGTCGCCATTGTCTGTTCTCTGAGCCGCGACACCATAACATCCACCTAGATGTCTTTCCTTTTCACTCAGTCTACCTACTTGAGCATTAAAGTCACCAGCCATTATAACTATATCAGAGCGCCTAGCTTTTTGGAGGAGGTCCGAAAGCTTTCTGTAAAACTCATCTTTAACCTCGTCTGAACTGCAGTCAGTGGGGGCATAGGCAGATATGACGAAGAGGCAACGGCGAGTGTCCCTATCTTTCCGAGTCCTTACTTGTCCCGTTTAGTCGGACAGCGCACAAACGACTATCTACTGGGATCCAGTCTAGGAGAGATAATTCTGCTCCTAGGACTCAACGCTATGCCTACGCCAGCAAGACCCCTGGAAGCAGCATCAGGGCTACCGGATACACGAAGAGTAAATCGAGCTGCTTCTTTATTTTGACAAGGTGGAATCAGGTTAATGACTTTACTAGGATCCTGTATGCGCGTTTCCGAGACGCAGCATACATCGATGGCACGAGATTCTAAAGTCCTAGCTAATGATGCCTGTTGCCCTATTTGACACAATGTCCGTACATTAAAAGCTCCAATATGTAGTCTAGAACGGGGTTTCAAGAGACCAGGAACGACGTTTCGTGATCTCGCTTCGTCTGCATTAGCGGTGCAGTGAGAAAAGGGAGTGTGAGTACAGTTAGTCGTAGAGGTAAGAGAGACATTAGGGGGTGTAGGAAGGATTTGATTTTGACCAATTTGGTCTCGCGTGCTGTGACGGGTATGAGGGCGGTTGTCACTTCCCGGCTGCCCACACCGTGGAAGGTTGTTTCTTGAGGGACCTGAAAAGGAAGATGGATTAGTGTTGGTGCGTGACCGCAGAGCCCAAGGGACAACTGCTTGAGGCCGATCACGCACGGCCTTTTTATGAAAGGTATTTAGAGGATTAGCTCCGTTCTTAAAGGCCCTTAGTGGGCACCCTTACCCAGGGAGACGGAAATCCGTGAGTTAGGGGGAGTGTGACATTTTTAGGGCCGACCTTTTCTAACCCTTCCATCCTTGTGGGAAGGCAGAATCGCTGCAGATGCTAGCTGTCACACCCCTCTTCAGTAGTCAGCAGTACGACTTCGCCCTCGGACTTGGGTAGCTGCTTTTAGTCGCATCGTTCTCCAATCGACCTGTGTGGCATGGTAGAACCTTCAGGAACATTTGTTTCAGCCAGCATAGCTCGTCTGAGTCATGACGATAGGCAAGCCCAACCTCCACGTCAAGGTAGCAGCTACGGTCGGGACAACATTGAAATACGTGACATTGATATTTAGGACAACCATAATATTAACCAGTAGGAATTGACCAATAATTCCCTTAGGATATTTGATGAATATCCTAACAAAACCCGATTGTATAACTTGATAGAGTGGGATTGTTAAAAAATGAAGCTTTTCATCACTGAATTATCTCTAGTCAGTCAGCTACATTACAGAGCTGCGTATATACGTACACTAGTTCAGGTCGCCATACCACGATAGCACAAAGATGCAACTGTCACATAAAATCCCATAGTGGTTGAGGCAGTGAAGGTATCAGCAGTAATCGGAAAGGTTAGGATTTCAAGATGTTCTTCAAGGACTATAATCTAGTCAAATAAATTTTGAAAGAGAAAAAAATCATGAAGAATTTAGATTAGAATTTGAGAGAAGACAAAGAATCAATGCACCAGCGCTATTGCAAACAATTTTGATCCATGTCATTCAAAGTCTCTAGCCATCGATTACGGTTGTCTCCTGATCGTCAATCCGGTAGTCCACATATAACGATATCAATCAATCAACAGCAACGTAGAACTTTATACGTAAGTACATCAGTTCCAGTTACCATACAACATTAGCACAGAGATGTAATTGTCCATTCAAATCCCATAGTAGTAGAGGTATTAGCAGTAATCGTAGAGATTAGGGTTCAAAGATATTATTCAAGAAGTAAAATCTAGTGCAATAAACTAAAAAAGAAAAAGATAAAAGTGATGAGGAACCCCGATGGTTAGGATTTGAGAAAACACAAAAAATGAATGCACGTGTGCCATGCAAACGGTTTTGAGCCATGTCATTCAGAGTCTCTAACCATCGATTACTTTCATCTCGCGGGCTCTAAAGAGGTAGTCGACACCTACCAACGTGACTCAGTCTCGTTGTCGGTGACTTCATGGATTTGTGCCATGTTTCGGTTTGGCTGCCCATAGCTTTCTTCCAACCTACCCCACCATCAGACAACATTGCTTGCCGAGGTAGTTTGTGATTGGACATGCGTAATGCTATACGAACAATTTCAACTGATGAAGAGTCACTACTTCACCAATTAATTTTCCATCCGTATCTAGTACTCTTTTCCTTACAACTGCATTGCTTACTCGACTGTCCCAGGATAAACTAACAATGCTACGGAGACACCGATCATCAAATACCAGTAACCTACTAATATCTTCTACTCTTACATGCCATATTTTACAGCCATAAAGTGAGATGGAGCGAACGGCTGTGCAGTTGGATTGATCGACGTTGGATACCGGTCCAATGTTCCAGAAGTTAAGCACTGACATGAAAGACCGAAGGTCTTGGGTTCAATTCTTGTGACTAATGGGAGTCATGTATGCGCACTGTCATTGATTAGTCTCATAGCGGGACGAAATGGCCGTCCAGTACAGTGCTTCCAGGTTTCTAATGGGGCTCTAACAATCTAATCATCGATTCATGATGGCCAAACAAATCATACAATATTATCTATGTTAAATTGTATTATTTATTAATTGAATGACTTAGTTCACTTTCTTCTTGATTTTCGCTACCAAAGGATCACCAAGTACAACTGGTTGTTTTCTTGTACCAATGGCTACTGGCATGTCATTGACATTATGTTTGTTAGCAATGAAAAAACGTCGTCCATATGGAGCTAATTTTGTTTTATGGTCTCGTATTGATCAGAAATCATGTTTCAAATGTATGATTGCTGCAGGTTAGTGCTGTGAAACACTGTAATCCTTTTGGTTTTCAAATGAATGGCGTTTATCTGTTTGATCAATGGAATGACTCGTGACTTGATCCCTAGTTGATATGAATGAATGATCGAATTATACGATGAGATAAATCTTCCTTTATAATTTCCGTATATCATGTGCTTAAGTGAGTCCCTATTTGTGCAACTGCAATAAGAAGAAACGGATTCATTTGGATGAGTTGTTATTGACGTAAACAGACATAAGAATACCAAAACGTAGCAAAAGCAAAGTGGAGAAGACGAAGGATGGTTGGGCGTTCGCTTACAATACAGAAGGTCCTGGGTTCGAATCCTGCGGGGTGCAGATATCGTGGATGCTCACTGCTGATGAGTCCCATACCAGGACGAAACGGCCGTCTTTCAGTGATTCCAGGTTTCTAATGGTGGTCTAACATGATCGATTCATAGTTTCAAAAAACCTAACAATCTTCACAATCGCGTAATACAAATTACTTGTGCTCACTAGTGACTAGCTTGGTGAGGAATCTTCTCCGATTTCTAGTGGGAAGACGTGACCAGTGAAGTTCAACCTGTTCGGGTGTAGACAGTAACTACCGAAGACTGTGTATGAGGTTGCGCAACTCCTCCGTGAATTGATCAAGTTAGACATTAACACCGTAAGACTATGCATATACGCACTCACATAAACATAATCAAGCTTACTAGGTAATGATTAACAAAGTTGAAAGACGTGTAAACAAAACTTGAAAGGAAACAGATTAATTAATTTGTCTAAAGGTTTCTGTTCGACGTATTGACACACACACACAAACACTAAACTACTCATTATCTATCTTAATGCAGTAACATTTTCTATATGTATGATTGATAACGTTTGGCGTATAAATATTTATTTGCCCCTCTTGTTCCAATGTTACTGTATTTTTAAATACATTCAGTAAAACAATTGTCTAATATCAATTGTTGTGTTTTGTTGTTTGTCTTTAGTTTAATATTCAATGAGATGATTATAAAATTCCATTTTTTTCTCAATTTATCATTATTAATTAATCACAAGTTAGTAGAAGAATATGAACAACACACCATGTGATGATTATGTACTTTTGTCAAGTTTTACTTTTTTTGAAAACTGATCACTAAAAGAAAAACACGAGTCGTTTTTACACTATAGGTGGCTTTGCTTCATTGTTTACATAACTTAAAAAACTTTAATGGATGCATAAAACTCGATCTTGGTTTAGATTCATAAAAAATGACATCATTTGATAGAGTTTAAACATATTTGCTCATTTACTTACTTTCGCCTGTTACTCTCAATGGAGCATAGGTTGCCGACCAGCATTCTTCAACCTACTCTGTCCAATTGTTGTTTATTCTTCGCATGTTTGTCTTCGTTTCTCAGCGTAATGTGTCCTTTTGGTGTGTCTCCCTCAAAGTAGTAGTAGGTAGCGGTGGATTTCAGTTATATCTACCAAACTCATGGATGCTCGGAAACTTATTCCGTCTGGCTCTGGACATGATGAAGAGCGAAGTTAGCTTAAGCGCAGGCTGATAAAAAGCCTACGCGATGATCGCGAACAGTGATGGGTAGAGAAAGCAAGAGAGATGGAAAAGACAGCGGCGATTGGCAACAGTAGGCAATTTATTGTAACGTTTGCTTAGATAATTCTGAGCTAATTCAGTCAGTCAGTCAGTTGCAACGTAGAACTTCGAACGTATGTACATAAGTTCATGTTGCCATACCACATTAGCACAGAGACGCAAATGTCAAATCAAATCCCATAGTGATAAAGATAGTAGAGGTATTAATTTTAATAAAGAAGACTAGGGTTCGAAGATATTATTCAAAAAATATAATTCAGTGAGATAAGGTTAGAAAGACAAAGGTAGAGAAGTGCTGACGAATCCAGAAGATTAGGATTTGAGAGAGCTCAAAGAGTGGATGCACCTGCGCCACTGCAAACGATTTTGAGCCATGTCGTTCAAGGTCTCTAACCATTGATGACTTTCGTCTCGCGGACCCCAACCAGGTAGTCTACATCTACCAACATGACTCAGTCCACTTGTCAGTGACTTCATGGATTTGTGCCATGTTTTGGTCTGGCCGCCCCTGACTTTCTTCCAACCTACTCCTACACCACAAAACATAGCTCGTCGAGGCAGTCGGTGGTTAGGCATACGTAACACATGTCCCAACCACCTCAACTGATGAAGTTTCACCACTTCATCTATTGATCTGCCATCCTTACCTAGTACTCGTTTCTTAACGACAGCATTGCTTACTCGGCTGTCCCACGATATACGAGCAATGCTTCTTAAACATCTATGATCGAATACTAGTAACCTACGAATATCTTCTACTCTCACTGGCCATGTTTCACAGCCATAAAGTAAGACGGAGCGAACCACTGCACAGTACACTCGTCCTTTAGTCAGCAAACGGATATCTCGCCTTCGCCATAAGTGACGCAGGTTGGCGAAAGCCAATCGAGCCTTCTGTATCCGAGCTGAGATTTCGTCAGTCACCAGGCCATCGGCACTGATGAGACTCCCAAGATAAGTGAAGTGATCAACACGCTCGACTACTTTACTCCCTATCACTAGTTCAAGTGCCAATGCAACCCAGTCCTGAAGCAACATTTTGCATTTCGAGGGGGAAAACCGCATCCCGAACATGCTCGCATTGTTGCTTATGGTAGTCAGAAGACTCTGCATTTTGTCAGCGTCTTCACTAAGTTGGACTATGTCATCGGCATATTCTAAGTCAATAAGCAAGCCACCTGGTAGAAGGTCGACTCCAGAAAATTCAGACGAGGATAAGGTCATTTCTAGCAGCATGTCTATGATAAAATTAAACAAGAATGGAGAAAGTGGACATCCCTGACGGACACCACTTGATGTAGAGAATTCCGGTGACAGTTCGCCATAAGCTCTCACTCGACCAGTGGTGTTCGAGTAGAGAGCTTGTATAAGGTTAATGTACTTCTGTGGTACACCTTTCAATGACAGACACTGCCACAGAACCTCACGATCCACAGAGTCGAATGCCGCCTTAAGGTCCAGGAACACGACTATTGTCGGACGTCTAAATGTGTGTCTGTGTTCCAGGACCTGTCGTAATGTGAAGATGTGGTCTATACAACCACGTCCAGGTCGAAAACCAGCCTGGTTTTCTCGAGTCTGCTCTTCACGAGCTCTAGTTAGACGTCTAAGTATAATCGAGGCTAACAATTTAGAAACTATATTAGTTAAACTTATTCCCCTGTGATTGTCACAAGAGGACTTTTGTCCTTTCTTGTATATTGGGACAATTAGCGACTGAGACCAGTCAGATGGGATTACGTCAATTTCCCAGATTCTACTTAGGATCTCGGTCAGTCTAACCGTTAAAACTGGACCACCATCCTTAAACATCTCAGGGGTAAGCCTATCAGGACCTGCCGCTCTACCTCCCCTTAGATTTCCTATAGCTTTCTCAACTTCATGTAAACTGGGAGGACTTAAATCGATTTGCCATTCAGGATGACTGTGGATCGTGGGCAACCGAAGTGTGGCTGAAGGCTAGTTGAACTGATCCCTAAAGTGTTCAGCCCATCGGTCCAGCCTCCTAGATTGAGAATGGATAATAAGACCATCCTTTTCCGAGATAGTCTCACTCACATTCGGGTTCCTAATACCGGTTTCTTTAATAAGGCGGAAAAGTTGTCTAGTGTTGCCTATCGCCGCTGCCTTTTCCATCGCTTTTGCTTTCGCCACCCACCACTGTTCACGGTCGTTACGTAGACTTTTTATAAGTCTGCACCTAAGCTGACTACGCTCTTCATCATGTTCAGAGTCAGGTGGGATGCGTTTTCGAGCATCCATCAGTTCGGTGGATGCGACTGAAATCCACTGCTTCATCCAAGCCTTGTGGTTTACCTTGCTAGCAGATACCATTGCTGTTTCCACAGCCTTCTTGATATGATTCCAACCTGCTTCAGGATGGGAATCACTCTCATGGCCGCCTAACTGTTTTTCTAGTTCCTCCTGAAATATTTTCTTAGCTTGATTATCATTAAGTAAAGCCCTAAGAGGCTTCCTTACGGTGTCTTTCCTACGTCCAGCAAGCCTCAAACAAATACGTGCTCGCACTAGAGCATGATCTGAATCTAAACATGTGCCCCAGAACGAGCGACAGTCCTCTATCGAACCCCTCCATCGGTGGCTGATGGCGATATGATCTAGTTGTGTCCAACGTTGAGACGACTTCGGGGGTCGCCAGGTCAAAAGGTGTTTTTCCTTATGCTTAAAATTAGTGTTTGCTAGAAATAGTTGGTTATCTGAGCACAGTTGCAACAGACGGTCGCCATTGTCTGTTCTTTGAGCCGCGAGACCGTAACATCCACCAAGGTGTCGTTCATTTTCACTAAGTCTACCTACTTTGGCAATAAAGTCACCAGCCATTATAACTACCTTTTTGGAGGAGGTCCGAAAGCTTTGTTTAAAACTCATATTTTACATCATCTGGGCTGCAGTCAGTGGGGGCGTAGGCTGATATGACGAAGAGCCAACGGCGAGTGTCCCTATCTTTCCGAGTCCTTACTGTCCCGTTGAGTCGGACGGCGCACAAGCGACTATCTACAGGCATCCAGTCAAGGAGAGATTGTTCCGCCCTACGACTCAATGCTATACCTACACCGGCGAGGCCCCTAGAAGCAGCATCAGGGCTACCGGATACACGAAGGGTGAATCGAGCTGCTTCTTTATCTTGACATGGTGAGGTCAAATGAGTGATGCTACTCGGATCCTGTATGCGCGTTTCCGAGATGCAGCACACATCGATGGAACGAGATTCTAAAGTCCTAGCTAATGATGCCTGTTGCCCTATTTGACACAATGTCCGTACATTGAATGCTCCAACATGTAGTTTGGAACGGGGTTTAAGGAGACCAGGAACGACGTTTCGCAAACTCGCATCGTTTGCATTAGCTGTGCACTGTAATAAATGAATGTGAGAAGAGTTAGTTGTGGAGATAAGAGAGGTATTAGGGAATGTAGGAAGGGTTTGATTTTGAACAATTTGGTCTCTCGTGCTGTTACGGGTATGAGGGAGGTTGTCACTTCCCGGCTGCCCACACCGTGGAAGGTTGTTTCTTGACGAACCTGAAAAGGAAGATGGATTAGTGTTGGTGCGTGACCGCAGAGCCCAAGGGACAACTGCTTGAGGCCGATCACGCACGGCCTTTTTATGAAAGGATTTTTGAGTATTAGCTCCGCTCTTAAAGGCCCTTAGTGGGCACCCTTACCCAAGGAGACGGAAATCCGTGAGGTAGGGTGAGGTGTGACATTTTTAGGGTCGACATTTTCTAACCCTTCCTTCCTTGTGAGAAGGCAGCATCGCTGCAGATGCTGCTTGTTGTCCGAGGGAAACACCTTACTGCTGTCACACCCCTCTGCAGTCAGCAGTACGACTTCGCCCTCAGACCTTGAGTAGCTGTTTTTAGTCTCATCGTTCTCCAATCGACCTGTGTGGCATGGTAGAACCTTAAGGAACATATGTTCCAGCCAGTATAGCTCGGTTGGGTCATCACGATAGGCAAGCCCGACCACCACGTCAAGGTAGCAGCTTCGGTCGGGTGAGCTAATTCCTGTTGCTTAGTATTCTCTGACCGCAATGCACTGTCTAAGTTCCCAAGAATCAAAAACACGGTTGAACAGGAAAAGTTTATATTCCAAACAGCAAGGTTAATGGAAGTAAGAAGCCAAAGGTGATGGCGAAGGCGAAGGCAAAGAAGGCAAAAATAGATACAACGTTAGTCTCTTTATAGCATTAACATGAGAAAGCTTCTGGATAGAAATTCACGCGATAGAATGGATTAGATTTAACGAATCAGCACGCAGCTAACAATGCGAGAATCTTCTACCCTGTTCTCCAAGATTCGATCAGGCGCTGACTGGGTAGAAAATTAGCCAATCAGCGCGCATCAACGTAGTCATGCTTCAATTCCATCCATGTCTCACTAACACAACTATTCCGACTTATCGAGGAAACCGGTATTAGGAATCAGAATGTGAGTGAGACTATCTCGAAAAAGGATTGGAATATTATTCATTTTCAATCCAGGGGATTGGGTCGATGGGCAGAGCTATTTAGGGATCCGTTAAACTGGTCTTCAGCCACACTTCGGTTACCCACGATCTCCAATCAACCTGTATGGCTAATCGACGTAAGTGGTCCAACTGTGTATGAAGTTGAGAAGGCGATGAGAGGTTTGAAGCGAGGGAGAGCAGTGAGTCCCGATAGATTGATCCCTGAGACTTTCAAGGATGGCGGTCCATTTTTAACAGTTAGATTGACTGAGATCTAAGGTAGAATCTATTCACAGTGAGAAAGGAGATATTTCTTGGGATGGTTATTAAACATGGTGTTCACAATACAAGGTTTTGTAATCGTTTTTAAATTATAAAACTCATGTTAAGTGATGCAGTCTCAGTATACAAATACAACATGTTTAGGTATAAATAGATTTATTTATTACAGTATTATTTCTCATAGTCTAATGTAACTACTGTGCGTACATTCTTTAAACTTAATTTATCTAACTAAAAAGTTTTATTTTTAAAGATCGAATAAAAGTGCTTTATACAGAGTCAGATCACTTCTTACAGAGGTATATGTTTTTGAATTAATAAAGGTAGATAAGTAATTCATTTAAGTAGTATCATTTCCTCACACTTTCTAACTGACTTATCGTCCTCTGTTTATAAAGCTGGCTAGTTTTACTGGGTATACCGCACTGGTATTCGATCATACGTGCCTTCGAACCATTGCTCGTATATCATGTGACCATCGAGTAGTTAATACTGGGACTAAGAATATAGTACTCAGAAAGGATAGCAGATTAATTGATGAAGTATTGAATGTCCACCAGTTGAGGTGGTTGGGACTTGCCCTCAGTGAGCAATGTTGTCTGATGGTTGGGGTAGGCCGGAAGAAAGCTAGGGCTGGCCAAACCAAAACATGGCACAACTCCATGAAGTCACTAACAACTGGACTGAGCCACAGTAGTAGGTGTCGACTATATGATAGATGCCCGAGAGACAATCGTAACCAGTGGTTAGAGACTTTGAATAACGTTGCTCAAAATTATTTATAATGTCATAGATGTATCCATTCTCTTTGTCTTCTCCCAAATCCTAATCTTCTCGATTCCTCATGACCATTTTATTTCACTTTGCCGGACAATTTCATCTCTCTTCGTCAATGTGGTATGGCTGCTTGAACTGATGTACGTACGTGTCAAGTTCATCGTTGTAGCCTCATGACTGACTGACTGACTGTATGTCATTAAAATCTATTCTAAAGGTGGTATTCTATATTCTCTTCTCCTTTCTGGTTTTTTTTTCTAAGGCCTTATTCCTGTTCCAATTGAATTAATCAACGATCCATCAAATGATCAACTTTGTACAAATCTTGATGCTTTAGAATTGGCATTACAAAATCCTGCAAAATATTTATTCGATCATTGGCCAAATGCTGCTAAAATGTATCATGTAAATGAGAAATTAATTGAAACGTCAACATCCAATAATATTGTATGCATATTTACAACGACTAATTGTTTTGCACCACGAATTCCTGATAAGTAAGTGTATCTTATCTTGTATTGTTTTCTTTTTTGTTTTTGAGATGGTGCAGAACAGTTGTAGCTCACTGTTCGATCATCGATGTCTCTGAAGCATTGCTCGTGTATCCTGCGACAACCGTATAAGCAATGATGTCGTTAGGAAACGAGTTCTAGGTAGGGATGGCAAATCAATAGATGAAGTGCTGAAACTTCATCAGTTGAGGTGGTTGGGACATGTGTTATGTATGGCTAACCACCGACTGCCTCGACGAGCTATGTTTTGTGGTGTAGAAGTAGATTGGAAGAAAGCTAGGAGCGGTCAGACCAAAAGATGGCAGAAATCCATGAAGTCACTGACAAGTGGACTGAGTCATGTTGGTAGATGTAGGCTACCTGGTTGGGGTCCGCGAGACGAAAGTCACCAATGGTTAGAGACCTTGAATGACATGGCTCAAAATCGTTTGCAATGGCTCAGGTGCATCCACTCTTTGAGCTCTCTCAAATCCTAACCTAGGAATTCCTTATCACCTCTATCTTTATTTTTTATTAGTTCAGTTCACCAGACTCTACTTCATCAGCAACTCTACCTTTGTCTTTCTAACCTTATTTCACTGAATTATACTTCTTGAATAATATCTTCGAACCCTAGTCTTCTTCATTACCATTAATAGCTCTACTATCTTTATCACTAAGGGATTTGATTTGACATCTGCGTCTTTGTGCTAATGTGGTATGGCAACATGAACTTATGTACATACGTACGTAGTTCTACGTTGCAACTGACTGACTCTGAACAACAACATCAGCAGCACAAACTTCAGATAGAGGAAGTGAAGTATTCGAATTTCGCCACGTTTGACCCGTAGCTTGTTTTGTTGACCTTGATCTTGATTGGTTACTGTTGACTTTAAGCTTGTCGTTGTTTGCACGTTTGTTTTGATTGTATCTCCCTTTTGATCCGCTCCTTGACCCTATATCGCCTATGATTTGTCTGTTTGGTTGATAAAGTTGGGTCAATGTCGATGTGTTTTTTTATTGTTAATTGATCTGAGCGCCAAGCTTTTAAAAATTCTCTAGTTTTCTTTGTACTGCTCTCCCCATCCAGTATTTCCACATTGTCCCAATCGAATGTGTGTCCATAATTGTCGGTGTGTATCGATACAAGCGAAGAATTATCGTGGTGCTTGACTGCCGATTAGCAACTTTTTTCTTTTCCAAACTATCAGTTTTTATTTGTATGGCATGTGTTTCTCTGATGTGTACTACTTATTTAAGCTTGTTTTCTCAACTACTGTGCCAATGGGATATATCAACTTGAACTGATCTGTGTATTTACGTTCAACCTCCTGTGTTATAGTTGACTGAGTTTACTGTTATGTTCTCCTTCAAGTAGCTTAGTTTCGGGGCTTGTCACCTATCATTTTCAGATGTCGGACATCGTCAATCAAAACAATTTTAAATCTACCAGAAGAAGAACAATGAATACTTCACAACCCCAAACATCTACGAGCTGAATTAACAAAATGCAACCGTAATCATTTCTCTCACCTAAGCTACAAATGTTTATCGACCAATTCAAAATAATTTCGGTTTATATATCCGTCACATGCATTCATCATCAGACAATTGTCACTTGTATTAACTTGTGAATTATTGCATAACATTCCTTTTGATATAAATATGTATATGTTAGTGGGACATAGATGGAATTGAATCATGACTACGTTGCTGCGCGCTGATTGGCTAATTTCTCAACCAATCAGCGCCTGATCGAATCTTGAAGAACAGGGTAGAAAATTCTCGTAATGTTAACTGCATACTTACTTACTTACTTACTTACTTACTTACTTACTTACTTACTTACTTACTTACTTACTTACTTACTTACTTACTTACTTTTATCATTAGGTAGAGCCCTAACCGGTTTCCTAGTGATATTTTTCTTGCATCCAGTCAGGCGCAAACAAATACGCGTTCGCACTTTCTCAATTCCTCATCATCTCTCTTTCTAACTGTATCTCACTGAATTATACCTTTTGAATAACATACTTACTTACTTACTTACTTTCGCCTGTTAGCCCCAATGGAGCATAGGCCGCCCACCAGTTTTCTCCAAGCAACTCTGTCCTGGGCTTCCCTCTCCAGTTCTGTCCAATGTTTGTTCATTACTCGCATATCTTTCTCTATTTCTCGGCGTAGTGTGTTCTTTGGCCTTCCTCTTTTAATTTTGCCTTTTGTCTCGTGACGCAGTTAGGTGCTTTCCGCAATGTGTGTCCTATCCACTTCCACCGCTTCTTCCTGATTTCCTCCTCCACTGGAATCTGACTCGTTCTCTCCCACAGTTCGTTGTTGCTGATGGTGTCTGGTCAACGAATAGCCATCGATTATTATCATCTCGCGGACCCCAACCAGGTAGTCGACAATTACCGACATGGCTATGTCCACTAGTCAATGACTTCATGGATTTCTGCCATGTTCTCGTCTGGCCGCCCCTAACTTTCTTCCAACCTATTCCTACACCACAAAACAAAGCTCGACGAGGCAGTCGGTGGTCAGGCACACGCAACACGTGTCCCAACCACCTCAACTGATGAAGTTTCACCACTTCATCGATTGATCTGCCATCCTTACCTAGCACCCGATTCCTAATAACAGCGTTGCTCACTCGGGTGTCCCAGGATATACAAGCAATGCTATGATCGAAAACCAATAACCGACGAGTATTTTTTAATCTCATTGGCCATGTTTCACAGCCATAAAGTAAGACAGAGCAAACCACTGCGCAGTACACTCGTCCTTTAGTCAGCAAACGGATATCACGCCTACGCCATAAGTGACGCAGGTTGGCAAAAGCCAATCGAGCCTTCTGTATCCGAGCTGAGATTTCGTCAGTCACCAGGCCATCAGCACTGACGAGACTCCCAAGATAAGTGAAGCGGTCTGCACGTTTGACTACTTCACTCCCTATCACTAGTTCAGGTGCCGATGAAACCCAGTCTTGAAGCAACATTTTGCATTTCGAGGGGGAAAACCGCATCCCGAACATGCTTGCATTGTTGCTTAGGGTAGTCAGAAGACTTTGCATTTTGTCAGCATCTTCACCAAGTAGGACAATGTCATCGGCATATTCTAAGTCAATAAGCGAGCCACCTGGTAGAAGGTCTACTCCTGAAAATTCAGATGAGGATACGGTTATGTCTAGGAGCATGTCTATGACAAAATTAAACAAGAGTGGAGAGAGTGGACATCCCTGACGGACACCACTTGAAGTAAAGAATTTCGGTGACAGTTCGCCGTAAGCCCTCACTCGACCAGTGGTGTTCGAGTAGAGAGCTATTATAAGGGTAATGTACTTCTTTGGTACACCTTTCAATGACAGACACTGCCACAGAACCTCACGATCCACTGAGTCAAATGCCGCCTTAAGGTCTAGGAAAACAACTATTGTAGGACGCCTAAATGTTCCAGGACTTGTCGTAGTGTGAAGATGTGGTCTATACATCCATGTCCAGGTCTGAAACCAGCCTGGTTTTCTCTAGTTTGCTCTTCACGAGGCTTTCGTTAAGCGTCGAAGTATGACTGAGGCCAATATTTTAGATAGCTATATTATTTAGACTTATTCCTCGTGATTGTAACAAGAAGACTCTGTCCTTCTTATAGATTGGGGACAATAGAGCTGCTATAACAAAATTAAACAAGAATGGAGAAAGTGGACATCCCTGACGGACACCACTTGAAGTAGAGAATTCCGGTGACAGTTCGCCATAAGCTCTCACTCGACCAGTGGTGTTCGAGTAGAGAGCTATTATAAGGGTAATGTACTTCTTTGGTACACCTTTCAATGACAGACACTGCCACAGAACCTCACGATCCACTGAGTCAAATGCCGCCTTAAGGTCTAGGAAAACAACTATTGTAGGACGCCTAAATGTGTGTCTGTGTTCCAGGACCTGTCGTAGTGTGAAGATGTGGTCTATACAACCACGTCCAGGTCGAAAACCAGCCTGGTTTTCTCGAGTCTGCTCTTCACGAGCTTTCGTTAAGCGTCGAAGTATTACTGAGGCCAATATTTTAGATACTATATTAGTTAGACTTATTCCTCTGTGATTGTCACAAGAAGACTTCTGTCCTTTCTTATAGATTGGGACAATCAGTGATCGAGACCAGTCGGATGGGATTGCGTCCAGTTCCCAGATTCTACCTACGATCTCGTTCAACCTAGCTGCTAAAACTGGACCACCATCCTTAAATATCTCAGGGGTCAGTCTATCAGGACCTGCAGCTCGTCCTCGCTTAAGATTTCCTAACGCCTTTTCAACTTCATTAAGACCAGGGGTATTTACGTCAACTTGCCATTCAGGATGACTGGAGATCGTGGGTAACCGAAGAGTGGCTTGAGGCCAGTTGAATTGATCCCTAAAGTGTTCTGCCCATCGGTCCAGTCTCTTGGATTGAGAATGGATAATAAGATCATCCTTTTCCGAGATAGTCTCACTCACATTCGGGTTCTTAATACCAGTTTCTTTGATAAGGCGGAAAAGTTGTCTAGTGTTGCCGATCGCCGCTGCCTTTTCCATCGCTTTTGCTTTCGCCACCCACCACTGTTCGCGATCGTTACGTAGGCCTTTTAGAAGTCTGCGCCTAAGTTGACTTCGTTCTTCATCATGTTCAGAGCCAGGTAGGATGAGTTTTCGGGCATCCATCAGATCGGTGGATGCTACTGAGATCCACGGTTTCATTTTAGCCTTATGGTCAACCTTACTAACAGATATCACTGCTGTTTCCACAGCCTTTTTGATATCATTCCATCCTGCTTCCGGATGGGAATCGCTTAAATGGTCGCCTAACTGTCTTTCTAGTTGTTCCTGAAATATATTTTTCGCCTTATTATCATTAAGTAAAACCCTAAGAGGCTTTCTTACGGTGTCTTTCCTACGTCCAGTAAGCTTCAAACATATACGCGCTCGCACTAGGGCATGATCTGAATCTAGACAGAACGAGCGACAGTCCTCTATCGAACCCCTCCATCGGTGGCTGATGGCGATGTGATCTAGTTGAGTCCAACGTTGAGACGACTTTGGAGGTCGCCAGGTCAACAGATGCTTTTCTTTATGCCTAAAGTTAGTGTTTGCTAAGAATAGGCGGCTGTCTGTGCATAGTTGCAGCAGACGGTCACCATTGTCTGTTCTCTGAGCCGCGACACCATAACGTCCACCAAGATGTCTTTCATTTTCACCTAGTCTACCTACTTGAGCATTAAAGTCACCAGCCATTAATACTATATCAGAGCGCCTAGCTTTTTGGAGGAGGTCCGAAAGATTTCTGTAAAACTCATCCTTAACATCGTCTGTACTGCATTCAGTGGGGGCATAGGCAGATACGATGAAGAGGCAACGGCGATTGTCCCTATCTTTTCGAGTCCTTAATGTACCGTTTAGTCGGACAGTGCACAATCGACTATCTATCTGGATCCAGTCAAGGAGAGATTGTTCTGCCCTACGACTCAATGCTGTGCCTACGCCAGCAAGACCCGTGGAAGCAGCAGCAGGGCTACCGGATGCACGAAGAGTAAATCGAGCTGCTTCTTTATTTTGACATGGTGTGGCCAAGTGTATGACGTGACTCGGATCCTGTATGCGCGTTTGCGAGACGCAGCATACATCGATGGCACGAGATTCTGAAGTCCTAGCTAATGATGCCTGTTGCCCTATTTGACACAATGTCCGTACATTAAATGCTCCAACATGTAGTCTAGAGCGAGGTTTAAGGAGACCAGGAACGACGTTTCGCGAACTCGTATCGTCTGCATTAGCTGTGCACTGTGATGATTGAATGTGAGTGCAGTTAGTCGTGGAGATAAGAGAGTTACTAGGGGGTGTAGGAAGGATTTGATTTTGACCAATTTGGTCTCTCGTGCTGTTACGGGTATGAGGGCGGTTGTCACTTCCCGACTGCCTACACCGTGGAAGGTTGTTTCTTGAGGGACCTGAAAAGGAAGATGGATTAGTGTTGGTGCGTGACCGCAGAGTCCAAGGGACAACTGCTTGAGGCCGGTCACGCACGGCCTTTTTATGAAAGGTATTTAGAGGATTAGTTTCGTTCTTAAAGGCCCTTAGTGGGCACCCTTACCCAAGGAGACGGAAATCCGTGAGTTAGGGTGAGGTGTGACATTTTTAGGGCCGACCTTTTCCAATTCCTTCCTTCCTTGTGAGAAGGCAGCATCGCTGCAGATGGTGGTTGTCCGAGGGAAACATCTTACTGCTGTCACACCCCTCTTCAATAGTCAGCTGCACGACTTCGCCCTCAGACCTTGGGTAGCTGCTTTTAGTCTCATCGTTCTCCAATCGACCTGCCTGGCATGGTAGAACCTTGAGGAACATATGTTCCAGCCAGTATAGCTCGGTTGGGTCATCACGATAGGCAAGCCCGACCACCACGTCAAGGTAGCAGCTACGGTCGGGTTCATGTTGTGTTGCATGGGAGAATTTTGCTTTTTCCTTTATGTATGTTGAGACCTACTGCTGCAGAGGCTGCTGCTACACTGGTCGTCTTCTCTTGCATTTGTTGTTGAGTGTGCGATAGAAGAGGCAGATCATCTGCGAAGTCCAGATCGTGCAGTTGCGTCCTGACTGTCCAGTTGATACCGTGCTTCCCTCCAGACATCGACGTCTTCATAATCCAGTCGATCACCAGGAGAAGGAGAAAGGGTGAGAGTAAGCAACATGGCCTGACACCGGTCTTCACCTCAAAAGAGTCTGTCAGCTGACCTCCGTGCACGATTTTGCAGTTGAATCCATCATTAGAATTCTGTATGATGTTGACTATTTTCTCAGGCACCCCGCAGTGTCGAAGAAGCCTCCACAGTGTTTTCCTATCCACGCTACCGAACGCTTTCTCGTAGTCGATAAAGTTGATGTAGAGTGGTGAGTTCCATTCAATTGATTGTTCCACAATGATCCGTAATGTAGCAATTTGGTCAGTACATGATCGATCCTTACGAAATCCGGCCTGTTGATCTCGAAGTTCGGCGTCTACGAAGTCCTTCATTCTGTTTAACAATACTCTGTTGAAGACTTTGCCTCGTATTGAAAGAAGAGTGATGCCTCTGTAGTTCTCACACTTACTGAGATCGCCTTTCTTTGGTATTTTGATCAGGTATCCTTCTTTCCAATCTGATGGTACTTGTTTCTCATCCCGAATCTTCTTGAAGAGAATGTGAAATATTTTTGCAGTTGCTTCTACATTTGCTTTCATTGCCTCTGCTGGAATGTTGTCTGGTCCTGCTGCTTTGCCGTTCTTGATTTGTCTGATGGCCATACTGATCTCCTCAATCGTAGTTGCACCAATATTAAATGGGAGGTCCTTGGATGCTGCTTCGATGTTGGGTGGGTTCAGTGGAGCTGGTCGATTCAATAGTTCCTGAAAGTGCTCTACCCACCTATTTCGCTGTTCGTCAGTGTTGCTGATTATTTTCCCTTCCTTGCTTTTCACTGGTCGTTTGTCAGCTCTGATGCTCTTCTTCACTTCCCTGTTTGCTTCTGTGTATGCAGCTTGTGCGGTAACTTTCCCTGCTCTTGTTCGGCTGACATTCACTGCTGCTTTCTTGTTCCTCCTTTCTTCAATTTTTGCGAGAGTATCAACAGAGATCCATTCCTTGTGATGGTACTTCTTGTGACCCAGAACTTCGTGACATGTTGAAGTGATTGCCTCCTTAATCCCTTTCCAATTGTTCTCCAATGTTGCGTCCTCTCCATTGTGTAGATCCTGAAAGGCCTGGAACCTATTGTTGAGGGCTATCCTGAATTCGTTGAGCTTTACAGTATCCCGAAGAAAGGCCGTATTAAACTTGTGTGATGTTGTCTGTCCCGTTGTCCAGTGCTTCTTTAGCTTCAGTTTCATTTTGACGACCAGCAAATGGTGATCTGAAGCTATATCAGCTCCTCTCTTGGTTCTCACATCCTCCATGGTCCTTCTGAACTTTTTTTTGATACAGATATGATCAATTTGGTTTTGAGTATTGTGGTCCGCTGAAATCCATGTTGCTTTGTGAATGCGTAATATTTTGCCACCGATGATCAGTTTGTTGAAGGCATATAGGTTTGCAAATCTCTCGCCGTTTTCGTTCCTTTCTCCCAGTCCATGTCGTCACATGATGTCTTCATATCCAGTGTTGTCCATGCCAACCTTCGCATTTAGGTCTCCCATAAGAATCGTCAAATCTTTTGGTGAACATTTCTCGACAATTGACTGCAGCCTTTCTTAGAATTGATCTTTAACGTCGTCATTGTAGTCGTTGGTAGGTGCATAACATTGGATGACGTTCATTGTAATGTCCTGTTTCTTTGTTTTGAAGGATGCTTCAATGATCCTCGGTCCATGAGCTTCCCATCCTATCAGTGCCTTTCGTGAATGTTTGGACAGCATCAGTGCAACTCCTTGTGTATGTGAAGCGTTTTTCTCTTCATGAATGGAGTATAACTGCAGTTCCCCTGAAGCAAGTCTCAGTTGTCCTACCTGTGTTCAATGCGTTTCACTGATGCCGAGCACCTCGAGGTTGTATCGTTTCATTTCTGCCGCAACTTGAAATAGTCTTCCAGTCTCCCACAATGTACGAACGTTCCATGTACCTAAAAAAATATTTGCTCTGGTTGTCAGAAGAGGCATCGGCCCCGTGACTTCCGAGGGAACTCGTCTTTCATCACGCGACGTCATAATTCTTCCTCCAACTCCCAGGGCAGAATTAAAATGGTTTGAATTATTTTTTCTGGTTAGCGTTCTTTTGGCAAGCGAGATTTCGACGGAATGGGGTCGCCAATCCCATGTCAAACCCTCCTCCTTTATCCGGGCTTGGGACCGGCAGTAGCCCCGAAGGTTCTACTGGCGGAGTTATTGTTAGCTGCATGCTGATTGGCTAAATGTAATCCAGTCGATCACGTGAATTTCTATTCAGAAGCTTCTCATGTAAATGCTATCAAGAAACTAACGTCGTATCTATTTTTGCCTTCGCCATCACCCTTGGCTTCTTATTCCATTTAACCTTGCTATTTGGAATATAATCTTTTCCTGTTCAACCGTGTTTTTGATTTCTTTGGAACTTGTCCAGCGTATTATGGTCAGAGAATACTAAGCAATAGGATTTAGCTGAGAAAACATATAAGCAAACCATTACAACAGTATCGGTTACAACAGTATATATATGTGAATGAACAATGTATGATGCAACACTGATTTCATTACGTAACACTATCGATATAAAAGTTTCATCTCAATGACACATCCTTTTTTTCATTTCATGATAAACTAATAATTTGCATTACGGGGTTGTGAAGATTGTTAAGTTACACATTTTTGAAACCATGAATCGATCAATGTTAGACCACCATTAGAAACCTGCAAGCACCGAAAGACGGCCGTTTCGTCCTGGTATTGGACTCCTCAGCAGTGCGCATCCACGGCCGTGAATTGATCAAGTTAGACATTAACACCGTCAGATGCCGGCTCAGTGGTCCGATGGTTAGGTGTTCGCATACACTACCGAATGTCCTGGGTTCGAATCCTGCGGGGTGCAGGGGTCGTGGATGCACACTGTTAGTGAGTCCCATACCAGGACGAAACGGCCGTCTTTCAGTGATTCCAGGTTTCTCATGGTGGTCTAACATTGATCGATTCATGGTTTCAAAAATGTGAAACTAATAATTTTCGTAACTAAGTATCACTGTTTAAATCCAATGAAATCATTGAAAAAAAGTATGTCTTCACTAGATTTCGAAGAATTTCTCATTTAAAACTGTTTTATTCTGTAGCTCTTTTGTTCTTTTTTCTATTGGTAAAGTAGCAATAAACATTTGAACTAATTTTTTCACTTTTTTGTAAAAAATTGTAGATTACATGCAGTCACAAAATTATGCATTAAATATGGTGTATCCCATTTGATTAATAATGCATACGGTGTACAATCACCACGATGTATGCGTATGATTGAATCTGCCGGGAAATTGATCATTGAACATAACAATTTAAACAAATCAAGTAAGTTTTGGGGGTTTTTCAATTGATTGATTGATTGGTTGTTGATTCAATAAGCAAATGATACCTGCTGATTGATTGTTACACTTGTTTTCGTGTTGTGTTGTGTTGTGTACTTCGTTTATTGTTACGGATTACAGGAAATGGATCAGTCAGTATATATATATACAAATTACCGGTTTATTCACGTGATCTGTGTACTTTATTGTTTGTTTACTGCTTTACATCTTTTTTTCCTTAACTAAAAAGAATCTTTTATTATCAGTTGTGTAGTCATCATTATGTCATCATCACTCACTGTGAGTACCTCAGTGAATTTTATGTGTCACATGTACAAACATGTTTATCAATGTGTTATTTCGTAATGATACATACATACACTTCAATATATGTTATGTATGTAAAATGTAGGACATGTTATTAGATATTTTACTTTGTGCTAACAGGTGCCATTATGATATTCGGTTGAGAGTTTTTAAAATCTAAATCATATAGTCAACTAAAACAACGTGTGGTGTGAGCTACTTATAAGTAGTATATGACGTGAGTGTCAACGTAATGTCTGGCAGCAGAAGATGGGGGAAGATCAAGAAAGGAAGAGTTAGAAGAACACAATGGAATTTGTATGAAACGCATAAATATTTACTATGGATTGATGTTTGGCAACAGGAACAGTCCAGTTCGATAGGATGAACTGATATTTTGCAAATTAACGATTTACGATATGATTTTCCTATTTTACTGAGTAACTCTGTAATTTTCGTTAAATACAATCCGGTTGCCCCACCTGTGTTCTCGTTCACTACAAACGGAGAACTTGGTACGTACTTACATCAGTCCACGTTGCCTTTAGCAAGACAGCAAAGTGACGTAATGATCCCATATCAGCAGAGGTAGTAGAAGTATTAACAGTAATAGGAAAGATTTGGGTTCGAAGATATCATAAAAGAAGTATAATCCAGTGAAATGAACTTAAAAAGAGAAAGATAAAGGTAAAGTGGAATTCAGAAGATAAGAATTTCAGAGAATGGATGGAATGGATGTACCTGCGTCATTGCAAACGATTTTGAGCCATGTCCTTCAAGGTCTCTAACCATCGGTTACTATCGTCTCGCGATCCCAACCAGGTAGTCTACATTTACCAACATGACTCAGTCCAGTTGTCAATGACTTCATGGATTTGTGCTATGTTTTAGCTTACCCATACCTAACTTTCTTCCAACCAACGTACATCCAAGCACCGACTGCCTCGAAGAGCTACGTTTTGTGATGTAAGTGCAGATCAGTATACAGCTAGGCGCTGCCAGATCAAAACACGGCACAAATCCCTGAAGTCACTAACTATTGGACAACTGAGCCATTATAGTAGGTGTAGACTACCTGGTTGGGATCGCGAGTTGGTAGGAACCGATCGTTAGAGACCTTGAATGACATGGCTCAAAATCGTTTGCAATGGCGACGGTACATCCATTCTTTGCGTTCTCTCGGATCCTAATCCTCCGGATTTTTCATCCCCTTTATCTATTCCTGGATTATACTTCTTGAATAACATCTTTGAACTCTATTCTTCTCCATTACCGCTAATACTTCTACTACATCGAATACTATGGGATTTGAATTGACGATTGCATTTCTCTCTTTGTTAATGTGGTATAGTAACTTGAAGTGATATACGTACGTATGAAGTTTTTCGTTGTTGCTGACTGATTGATTGACTCCAGTAACAATCGATTTTTTCAATAATTAAACATTCATTTCGAGTACCTCTATTGGGCGATAAGTAACGGATGAAAAAGAAGTACTTAATGATTGCTATTTTCAAAACTTCTTCAAAAAGTGTTTATTTCACCAATCGAAAAAATTATATCGAATTCATCAGTGAAACTCAGTAAACAAATGATACTTGTAACGCTCTCTTAATAATACAGCGTTAGTATCTTTATAGTTTTTACATGAGAAGCTTCTGCAATGTAATCCGCGTGATTGAGTGGCACTGACCGGATTAGATTTAGCCAATCAGCATGCAGCTAACAACCCGAGAATTTTCTAGCCTGTTCTCCAAGTATGGGCCAGGCGCTGATTGGATAGGAAATTAGCCATTCAGCGCGCAGCTAGCACAGTTATGCTTTAATCCATCCATGTCCCACTAACCATACTGTTTAACTTGAAAGACATCTCCGATACGACAGATGCACTATGCTAAGGTCACTGGGAATGTAGGTATAGCTTATAAGTCAACCAAATCGTTACAGTCAATATTATGTGAGCCAAATAAAACTGCGATAGAAAACTAAGATAAATTACAAACTCTGCAAAATGTATTACATTGAATATAAAGTGCCCTTCTTTTTCCGCCTTTTTACATCTAAATTGAAAATTAGTCAGAAGATAAGCTCCATAACATAAACTGATAAACATAATTCTATCAATTGATATCGACAACTTTGTGTGTATGAATCGAACTATTGGCGAGAGGAGAATTTTTTCCTGCAGAGTTTGACATTCTGGTCAAGTATTAATCAGATCTCGGAACACAACACCTGAAGCATGAGTGATGTATACATTGTGTGAAATGAAAGCATGATTGACTATTGAGCATGGTCAAGCAGGCTTTTAGCATACCATCTTTTAAATATGGGATTTCGTTTAATGACTACATGTAATCGTATGTAATAAAATATGGTCTATCTGATATACACCCCCATTTTCCTAATTTTGATTGGGAAGCGTGTATATGTGATTTAACGTGATACTCCTCTCTCTGTGTGTGTATGTGACAACACGGAAATTGGAGGAATTTTTTTCTAAACCACCATCTTGAAAACGAGTTTCTGTTCTTTTTAAAAGTTTTTTTAAATAATAACTGATAGTTTTTAATTGGTTCATTATGATAATTAGAAGAATTGAATTTAAACACATCAGCAAATCATTAAAATCACAAATCGATCGATGTTAGGCCACCAATGGAAACCTGGAAGTAATGGATGTTTGTTTCGTCTTAATACTAGCCTCAGCAGCACTGCGCATCCACAACTCCTACTCAATGGAATCGGATGCAGGATCTTCGACGTTGCACGCGAATGCTGTCATAATGCTGCTATATAGCTATTCGAAATCCTACCGATTGACCGAATTGAGATATTCCAATACGACCCCAAATACTGTTCCCAAATCTCCAATATATATATCAGAACACAACGTCGTTAGATGAAGTTGTTTAGGGGGTCGAGTACAGAAGGAAGTAATCGAGTAATAAGTTCTACAGATAATGCATATTTATACAGTTAGGTCGGATAGGAAACAACATTGAAGTCTGTGACACTGATAGTTAGGACCGCCAATGGGAAACAACATTGAAGTCTGTGAATTCGATAGTTAGGCCGACCATAATATTGACCGGTAGGTATCGATCAATAGAATTAGACTTCTAAAAATGATTCTCTTAGGATATTTGATGAATATCCTGACAAACGCTTAACCCCTAAAACTCTGAGCCGGCATCCAATGGTGTTAATGTCTAGCCTTAATCAACCCCCTGAAGATTTTGAATTCGATCCCTATAAGTAGCGGGGATCGTCAGTGTGCACTACTGATGAGTATAGTCCCATAATAGGACGAAACAGTTGTCCAATGCTTCCAGATTTCTGATAATTATTGGTCTAACATTGATTAATCGATTCATGGAAAATCGCTTACTGACCTAGAGTATGCCGATGACATAGTTCTATTCGGTGAAGACGCTGACAAAACGCAGATTCTTCTGACTAACCTAAGGAACAATCCAAGCTTGTTTGGGATGCGATTCTCTCCCTTCAAAATTCAAAATGTTGCTGCAAGATTGGGTTACATCGGCACCTGAACTAGTGATAGGGAGTGAAGTAGCCGAGTGTGTAGACCGATTCACTTACCTCAGGAGTCTCATCAGTGCTGATGGCCTGATGACTGACGAAATCTCAACGCGGATACAAAAAGCTCGATTTGCTTTTTCCGATTTACGCCGTTTATGGCGTAGGCGAGATATCCGTTCGCTAAGCATAGGACGGGTGTACTACGCAGCAGTTCGCTCCGTTTTCCTATCTGGATGCAAAACATGACCGTTAAGAGTCGATGTTTGCAGGTTACTAGTATTCGATCATAGAGATCTTAGAAGCATTGCTCGTGTATACTGGGACAACCGAGTAAGTAATGATGTCGTTATGAAACGAGGTAGGGATGGCAAATCAATAGATGAAGTATTGAAACTTCATCAGTTGAGGTGGTTGGGACATGTGTTACGTATGCTCAACCACCGACTGCCTCGATGAGCTATGTTTTGTGGTGTGGGAGTAGGTTGGAAGAAAGCTAGGGGCAGCCAGACCAAAACATGGCAGAAATCCATGAAGTCATTGACAAGTAGACTGAGTCATGTTGGTAGATGTAGGCTACCTGGTTAGGGTCCGCGAGATGATAATAATCGATGGTTAGAGACCTTGAATGACCTGGCTCAAAATCATTTGCAATGGCGCAAGTGCATTCATTCATTGTGTTCTCTCAAATCCTAATCTTCTGGATTCTTCAACACCTCTAGTTTTGTCCTTCTAAACTTATCTCACTGAATTATACTTCTTGAATAATATCTTTAAACCCTAGTCTTCTTCATAACCTTTTCTACCTCTACTATCTCTATCACTATGTGATTAGATTTGATTTGACATTTGAGTCTCTGTGTGCTAATGTGATGGTATGGCAACATGAACTTATGTACATACGTACCGAAGGTCTTACGTTGCAACTGGCTGACTGACTGATCGATTTTATGGATCTCAACGATTCCCCGCAATCTTTACAACCGTCATATCACATGAACATTGTTATTCATTAACACTTTGCATCGAATCATTTATTGATTTATTTTGTTTGCTTTCTCTGTGTTTTCTTTTTTGTCCTAATGAAAAGATTTAAACACACAACCGATTGATTTATTATACGTACAAAGTACGGATAAAAATTTAATGATACCAGTTGGTGGTGCTATAATTGCAGGATTTTGTACGGATTTAATTGATTCAGTGGCAAAACTTTATCCAGGTAAAGTGTGTAACAATGATTGTTTGGTTTTTATCTTTTGTTGTGTTTATTTTAATGAGGTTGAATTGTTGTTGTTGACAAAATATCTGATTGGTTTTGCATATAAGCACTTGAACTAGTTAGTGATAGGGAGTAAAGTAGTTGAGCGTGTTAACCGCTTCACTCAATTAGGCGGGCTCATGAATGCTAACGGCCTGGTGTGTGACGAAATCTCATCTCATGTAAAAACTATAAGGATGCTAACGTTGTATTATTAAGAGAGCGTTACAACAATTATCTGGGGAGTCTCATCAGTGCTGATGGCCTGATGACTGATGCAATTTCAGTTCGGATACAGAAGGCTCGATTGGCGTCACCTATGGCGTTGGCGAGATATCCGTTTGTTGACTAAAGGATGAGTTTACTGCGCTGTGAAACATAGCCAGTGAGAGTAGAAGATATTAGTAGGTTACTGGTTTTCGATCATCGGTGTCTTCGAAGTATTGCTTCGTATATCCTCGAACAACCGTCGAGTAAGCAATGCAGTTTTTAGGAAATATGTACTAGGTGAGCATGGCAAATCAATTGGTGAAGTATGGAATCTTCATCAATTGGGGGTGGTGTTTGGGACATGTGTTGCGTATTCCCGACCACCGAATGTCGCAGTGAACTATGTTTTGTGGTTTAGGGGTAGGCTGGAAGAAAGCTAAGAGTGGCCAAATCAAAACATGACACAAATCCATGAAATCACTGACATGTGGACTGAGTCATGTTGGTAGATGTAGGCTACGTGGTTGGGGTCCGCGAGATGATAATAATCGTTCGTTAGATAGCCCGATCGATATGGCCTAAAGCCATGATCTTCCAACCCCAATCTTCTCGATTACTGCTAATACTTGTACTATCTCATCCACTACGGGATTTGAATTGACAAATACATTTCTGTGCTAATGTGGTATGGCAACTTGAATTGATGTACTTACGGGCAAAGTTCTACGCCGGTGTTGATGATGATGATTGTATTTAGGATGTGCACAAGTTGTCCAATTTCAGTTATATCGGTTCACTGCAAAGTGAGCAAAAACATAAATGACTTAAAACTTTAAACAGATCAAGTGTGTTTTTCTCAAGAATTGTGCGGCTGTGGTCAATTCGCTTACTCCTGTTGCATCCAATGGAGCATAGGCAGCTGATAAGCATTATGCAACCTGCTTGGATTACAAATAAGATGATTAAAGATTATGTGTGCGTATTTTGTAAAACATTGATTGATTCATGATTTTAAAAATCAACTTATCTGCTCACTAGTGACTAGCTCCGTGAGGTAGTTTCTTCGAGTTCCAGCGAGAAGTTGTGAACAGTGGAGTTCAACCCTTTTCAGGTGTGAAGCAATGCTCACGAAAGACAGTTGATGAAGTTGCGCAAGACCGTGGATTGATCTGATGTAGACACCGTTAGATGCCGTCAAAGTGGTTCAGATATTAGGCTTTCACGCCCTATACCGAATTTCCTAGATTCGACTCCTGCGAGTAGCAAGTGTTATGGAGGCACACTGCTGATGAGTTCCACCAGATACCTAGTGGTGGTCTAACATTGTTCGATTCATGATTTTAAAACAAACAAATTATATCTTCAAATATGTATCTATTCCGTTCGGTATCCGTTTGTATATTACAGTAGCACATCATAACAAATGGTGATTGATGCGTATACACGATAATCAACCAATTTTTTCAATGATCGTTCACAACTTCATCAATCAATCAATCTACGTACTCTAAATTTGTTACCGTACATCTAGTCTTAAACATGATTCATGAAATACATAAAATAGTCAGTTAGGATGGATTTGATTGTGACTAGTTTGGACTCGTGTGTTGTTACGAGTACGAGTGTGGATGTCACTTCCCAGTTGCCCTCACCGTGGAAGGGTGCTTCTTGAAGAACTTGAAAAAGAAATCAGATTAGCGTCGGTCTTTGAGATCTGCGAGCGCGACCGCAGAGTCCGCGGGACAACTGCTTCAGGCCGCTCACGCACGACATTTTTGTTGGAAGATTTCAAAGTTTACCTTACCGCCGGAGACGGGAATCCGTGGGGTAAGTTCAGGTGTGACATTTTTAGGGCCGACCTTTTATAACCCCTTCCTTTCTTTGGAGAAGGCAGCATCACTGCAGATGCTGGCTGTCCGAAGGAAACGCTTCACTGCTGTCACACTTGTCTTCAGTCAGCAGTACAACTTCACCTACAGATTCTAAGTAAGATGGTACTTTTAAAGCAGTCGATTATAACAAAACAAAATTCAATTATTTTGTTTTCTTTCATTTCATGATTATTTATTGATTTCTGGAAATTTTTCTTAAAATTAGGTCGAGCTTCCGGTACACCAACATTAGATGTATTCGCCACGCTACTTTATCTTGGTAATAAAGGTTGGGATGATTTAATTCAATGTCAGGCTGTATGTTTCAAAAAACTACATAATGGATTACAGCAGTTAAGTGAAAAATTTAATTTAAAATTACTCGATACTACTTCTAATCCAATTTCATTGGCTTTAAGCTTAGAAAATCTTCTTCCTAAAATACTTACTACTAATACTGCTACTACTACTACTACCAGTACCACTACTAATACTGATGAAAATGCTGAAAAAAACACAATCGTAGAGAATAATTGGAATAAAGAAACTTTTAATCAGTTGACACAAATCGGTGCTAATTTATTCACTCAAGGATGTTCTGGTATAAGGTAAGTGAAATCGTTAACATTTATACATAATCATTGATTATGTCTGTTATGTTGTAACTGACTGACCAACTGACTGGTTATATTTGTAGTTTATAATGTTGACGATTCATTCTCTATGGTACTTTGGTTATATTTACTTTCGTATTATTGGCTGAATGCTTCATACTCTCCAATATCCAATATTTTTTGCTCGAGCTAGTATAAACCAGTGGATTTCTTTGTGCTCGATTCTTGTTCCTCCAGTACGGTTCCAGGTGTTTGGTAGCTCTTCGAGGCAGTCGGTGGTTAGGCATTCGTAACACATGTCCCAACCGCCTCAACTGACAGAGTTTCATTACTTCATCTATTGATCTTCCATCCTTACCTAGTACTCGTTTCCTAACGACAACATTGCTTACTTGGTTGACCCAGGATGCACGAGCAATGCTTCGAAGACACCTATGATCGAATACTAGTAACCTACAAACATCTACTCTTAACGGCCATGTTTCGCACCCGTACAGTAGGACAGCAAACTGCCACACAGTACACTCGTCCTTTGGTTAGCGAGCGGATATCACGCCTACGCCATAAGTGACGCAGGTTGGCAAAAGCCAATCGAGCCTTCTGTATCCGAGCTGAGATTTCGACAGTCTGCAGGCCATCTGCACTAATGAAACTCCCAAGATAAGTGAAGCGGTCTAAACACTCGACTACTTCACTCCCTATCACTAGTCCAGGTGCCGATGAAACCCAATCATGAAGCAACATTTTGCATTTCGATGGGGAAAAGCGCATCCCGAACATGCTTGCATTGTTGCTTAGGGTGGTTAGAAGGCTCTGCATTTCGCTTGCGTCTTCACCAAGTAGGACAATGTCATCGGCATATTCTAGGTCAGTAAGAGAAAAATATGGAACTCTAAGTGCGAAATACTTCAACAAGTGTTTCTTTTACAAAAAATATAGTGACTAGCAGTTGAAAGTGAACAGAAGGTCGAGAATCAAGAATCAGCATCTCCGATTGTATATTTTCATATCTTTTGAAACAATTAATTCGTAAACATTTTATATACGCATCTGAGTAGATTATACAATTAACAGACATGAGTGACATGCTAACTAACATCAACAGCTAAAAGGTGTAAGTTCAAACAGGCCGACTAGTATTTCATTCAACTTCACTCCCACAATTTCATCTTACTATTCTGGTGTGTATGATGTAGCAACTTTTTATAGTAGTACATAGTTTATAACACTGATTGATAAATTTCTTGTCTCCTTTTTTTTTAGAGTTGTTCTACCAGCATCTATGCAACGCCCTATTCAATTAGATGCATATGAATTTCAAGGTTTCAATTCACACAGTTCAACATCTAAAATACCATATTTAAATGTAGCAGCTGCAATTGGTCAAAAAGAATGCGAAATTAATCTGTTTCTACAAAAACTTGATAAAAGTTTACAACATTTTATTTCAATGAAATCTAATATGAATTCAATGAACTCGTTACACAGTACTACACTTAATGGTGATATAAATGAGGATGAGGATGATGATAATGATCTTTTGTAAGAAGAATAGTTAACAGTTGTTGTTGTTTTTGTTAGCTAATGTGATTATTTCTGTTCAATGTGTTCAATTGTACATAATTTTTTTTGGCGCCTTTTTTCATTGGACACGTTACTGATTTTCTCGTTTTATTCTCCATTGTCATATATTACTGATTGTTTGTTTGTTTGTTTTGTAGATGATATATTCATTTCAGTAGTATTATTTTTTTATTTCTGTTATTTTTTTCGGATGTTTATGATTTGATTTCTGTTTTTTGTTTTGTTTTGTTCACCTATTTTCGCTCACCTTGTTGCATTTCAATTCATCGTTAAATTAAGTATGGGCGTTGACATATAAAAGAAAGCATAAACCCTACCTATATATTTATATTCATCTCGAGTAATGTACATAAATGATCATCATTATAGATTCATTGAAATTTTGGTGTCTGTGTTTTTATTTTACTTCATAATTACTGAGTTGGAATTATTGCCCTTAAGCATTTTTTTGTTCTGCACTTGATACGATACATAAAAAAGTAAAGAGTCTAAGAGTCTAATTTCAAAATTGTTCTTGTTCGTGAAATACCAATATAGACAGTTGTCAAAGTAACTTGGTAGTGTTATACTTTTTTTTTATATGGGTGTGGTATTTTATTCTGTGAATATCGAAAGACTAGGTCATCTTTGTTGTCATTTGTTGTATGTCGAATATGATCTTTTGTGTGTGTTGAATGTTCAAGTGATTAGACAAGATAAATAAAGAATAATAACTAGACCATTTCTTTTGTTGTTTGGTTCACAACTCAAAGTAAAATCTTTTTGTTCATTGCTTGAAAACATTCTTTTTTAGAATAATACAAATTGATTCTATTCGAAATGCATCCAAATTCGATTTGAGCGAATTATTAGTGAGATAAGTTTTGAACCAAGAGAATTTAGAAAATGTTGTTCATGAATCAAGGCACAGTTATTTACTTTAAAGTATGAGGTGACTTATCTGTTCTGCTTATGTTACTTTTCAGGTGTTGAACAACTCAGTTCTTATTTCTAAAGTCTTGGCTAAAACCTCATGTTGACCGTGGTTCTATGAGTTGATGTTGTTTCTTGTTTTAACAATTCTTCGTATCAAATATTATGACTAGTTAGTTGTATCTTTTCTTTTGTGACATCACCTACAAACCTTTAAGAATTTAATGTGTGGTTGATGAAAGTTGGGTGTGATTGGTCAGTGAGCGTGGACAAGTCGAAACCTAGTTTACACGCTGTATTGTTTCGTCATTAGTGGTTTGAGTGTAAGCTCATTGTAATTTTATGCCATAAAATATTGTTTAACTGATAATTTGGGCCTCTTTTTTTGATCATGTATCTTGTATAACCTGTTTCAGTCTGTGTATGTCGTATTGACTCAGTATATACTGGCAAAAAAAAACCCGGTCACTGATTGTATTATAATATCATGTTGTAGCAAATAAGATAGTCTTAGTCCCCTGTATTATTGAATGTTTTGTAGGATTAGTGAAATATCACTGAATTTAATGTAAGAAGCTTGAATATTTGAATCCCATGGACTGTAACAGGACATCAGTACCGTACATTAAAGCATTAATTTTTATAAAAGTGTTGCTTCATAGATCCAGAGTAGTAAGCTGAAAATTTTGGCAAGTTATAGACGACCATTATGTCTGTGATTATGATACGCCGGAATGCCATATTGAAGAATGATTATAATATATTTCTATGTAGTAATCATATGTCCTTATATGATCTCACTCGCTATGTTCATGGTCTGTGAGTATGGAGATCCAAATCAACTGATTTAGATATGTTCTTTCAAAAAAGCTATCAACGAGATTAAAAGATCACGTACACTGAATAAGGAAAGTTTTAGGAGAAGATTGTGTAAAACACTGTCAAAAGCCTTACTAAAATCAGAGTGGAGGATTTTAACTAACTGACACACATCTCTACACTGAGTAATTAGATCAAATTCTTGCACGTGAGATGGGGAACACGAGCGTTTGGGAGAGATAATCAGGTTTTCTAAAATGAAATATGTAATAACCTTTTTGTGGATGATTTTTCCATAATTGTTGACATTAAAGGGGTCAAGTCATTGGGCCAGTAGTTAGCGAAATCTTTGACTAATACTCTTCTTAGTTTATGAATAGTAATCAATACAGTTCTACAGTACATACACATCCTGAACAGTTTTAATCAGAATAACGGAAATTCCACCACGCCTCCATACTTCACAAACGATGCAAGAATAAAAGGTTTTCTGAATGTCTATAGCCTATTCGATGTTGGCGGATGTAAAGTTCCTTGTGGAAAGATGAGTTGTTCTTAACATTGGGAATGTGTTCCGGTGTTTGTACTGTAACAACAAAATTGTGATTGTCTACGATAATACCTCTAGTTATAAGAATTTGAGTGTATCCACAGAGTTCGATTTAACGCGAGATTACAACTCTGTAGTCAAAGGATACTTGTGCTCAGATGGTTCATTTTTGCTAAGTGTGCCCATGAGGCGCGAATTGTGCTTGAGGTTTGTGTCGGAGGTGTTTTAGCTTTTCACCTTCTCCTGAAAGTTTCCAGACACATTTTCCTTATGAATAGTGTGGTTAACACTTTGTACTATACGGTCAAGGCCTTCAGCGTTTTCAGAGTTACTGCCGGTCCCGAGCTTGGGTAAAGTAGGAGGGCTGAGCAAAGGATTAGCTGCCTCATACCGTGTGGAACTAATTCGATGAAAAAAAGCTGGAAAGAGTAATTCAAATCACCACATTTCTACTCTGGATCTGAAAATTCCTCATGACGAAAGCCGAGTTTTCTCGAAATTCACGAGACTGATGCCCCTTCTCACAACCACAGTAACCATTCTTTTAGGTATATGGAACGTGCTAACATTATGTCAGACCGGAAGACTTTCAAATTGCTGCAGAAATGAAAAGAAACAATCTGTAGGTGCTTGGAATCAGTGAAACGCGTTGGATGTAACTTGGAAAACTGAAAGAATCTTCAGAGGAGCTACAGTTTTAGTTCGGCCACACACACTAGGAGTTGCACTGATGCTGTCCAGACAAGCACAAAAAGCTATAGCATCATGGGAATCTCATAGACGCAGGACCATCAAAGCATCCTTGAAAACAAAGAAAGATGACATTACAATTACTGTCATCCATTGCTACTAGCACACTAATGATAACACTGAAGACGACAATGATCACTTCTATAGATGCTTCAGATAAGAAGAAAGAAAGAATACAGCAACAGATATCAGCCCAATAAAGTCAGAGAATGCAAGTGCATAAGCTGAATTCGCAGTACCGAACAAGGAGGTGAAATGGAGCAACCGAGTTGGATGTCAAATCATTAAAAATCGATAAATCAAGAGTGTGGAAGCAGCCAGTCCAGATGCCATACTAAGTGTGTCATTGAAAGACTTAGCCCTAACTGCAGAGATGATCAGGCTCTCTTAAAATGGATTTGTGAAGAATAAAAAGTACCAACAGATTGGAAAAAAGGACATCTCATCAAGATACTAAAGAATGGAAGTCTAAGAATGTGTGAAAACTACAGAGACATCACTCGAACTTCGATATCAGGAAAAGTCTTCGACAGAGCTTGTTTGAATATACTGAAAGATTTACGATACGCTCAGTAACATTGTATTCATCAACAAAAATCACACTTGATGGAGAAGCTTTGGGCGTTGTGGACAGGTTTCCGAACTTGAGCAAAGGAGATGTGACGCAGATATAAAGACAGGGATTTACAGAGTATTGGTATTATTTCTGCAACTGAAAAACATCTGAAACTAAAGTCATCTTTTAACCAACAACGAGATCACAATTTTTAGTGCAAAAATTAGGACGGTTCCACTGTATGGAGCGGAAACCTAGAGTTCTACGAAGGACATGATCAAGGAGACACAAATGTTTATTTACAGTTGGAATGATACTGATGACAGGTTGGTCCGACACCACTGACAAAACGTACTCTGAGGGAAGACAGACCAGTTGCCAGATGATGAAGAAGTTATCAAAAAGCTTTGGAGTTGGATGGGGTACAATGCGAGAAACTTGTAACCGCGTTACTCGGTAAGTCCTCAGTTGTAATCCTCAAGGCCAAATGAAAAGAGGAAGACCAAAGAGCTTCTATGGCTGAAATTTGAAAACAAACATGAAAGGAATGGGCAGAAATTATGTGGGACTTGAAAGGAAGGTCCAGGAAATCGTAGGCTGGAGAATGTGGGCTAACATTCGAAATTGGTACAGTTTAAATGACTTAATAATTATTCCTTGAGATCTTCATAAAAAAGTGAACTAACTTTGCCAGAGAAAGTCATACTTTTTATAAAGCTGTAGATAACCTCACTGATGAATTGAGGTAAATAAGCTACAGTTTTATTGTCGTTACAATCTTTACAGGTTTTGGTGTGGATTTTATGGTGCTTCATCCACTAATCATTAGAGCTTTTATAAAATTCTCCATTCATTGACTCTATGCTAACCATAATATAGTAGTCAAAAGGGCTCTTGTTTTGTATGCTTCACCTAATAAGCAGAAATGTCTAGCATTTATGGCTTAACAAGTATCGGAGTCAACATGTACCGTGTAAGCACAGTCAAATGTGTTTTATTTTGGAATGCGAATCATGTGCAGATCGAATATGTTTAAAAGAGTAGAAATCGCGACTAGATAATTAGTATGATGTAGTTCTCTGAGTTCTGAACTATTTATTAGTATTATTATGCACTAAGAACTTTATAATAATAGTAATAATAATTTATTCTTAAGAAATACCGTGTTGCGAAATTCATTCCAGACAAGATCAAAATAATTAAATTGCTTAAATTTTTACTGTAAATCGTTTTTTAGTTAGATAATTATTTTACAGAATACACTAGCTTTTTATAGAAGGCTAATATTTTGCACATAAAATTGTGATTGTTTCAAATTCTGAAATGTACAATACAATAGTTGGCGCGAGTTATGTTTGTTGCATTGAGATCACCCACTGCTGGTTGAGAATAAATGCCAGTTAAATCCAGGTCTGTAAATAACACAAAATGATTAGACAAATGTGTAATGATATTGCTGTTGAGATTCACCAAATAATAATTTGATGGTCAACTGGGTTAAGCAACCAAGCCTTCTCTAATATCGAGGCTATAATTTGAGGAGTTGGACGAGGTTACGAAAAAGAGAAATAAAGAGGAAGAAGCGGGGAGTAGAACAGAAAGGATTCATGTTTGAAGCTGAGTCATGACTTAATGGATACGTTTTTGGATAAAACATAGGAATGATTTTTAGTGGTGCGAGTCAAGATACCAGACTGCCTATGATCACCACTAAATGTTCCATATGGTCGCGTCACGTATATCAAAATAAGTCCATGGTTGAGTATTTTATTGAAGGAGAACGTTGACATTACATGGGGAGCAGGGAATTTTGAAAAATGGCAGCAACGCGAAGAGAACGTTGCGCGCCAGAAGTAGAAGAAATGTTTTTGGTACAGTTAAACAGAACGAGTACAATAATGTTTATTTTTCACAAATCGTATTTTCTTCGTAGAAGCGTCCCATTGCAGATTACTCATACTTTTATTTTTCTGTACTATAACACTAAATGTACACTTACATTTATGTAGGTTATTTAAGACTAGTTACTAGTAAGATGAAGAATATGCAAATAATTTTATGAATAGAGTATAAATGGATTTTCTACCGTAGCAGTTCAAATGGTTTCCAGTAAGTGCAATTCGAACGCGTATCTCCCAGTCCAATGTCCAAAGAACTCA